GGTTGGCGGTGGAAGATAATTCAGAAGGGAGAAGTGGAAGAGCTGCAAGTTATGTCCATTTCTGTGGGACTTCCAAAATGATTAAGTAGCTCATTAAGGATGGAGGACTCAGAGGACTCAATGATGTATTAATATATAGTCTCAAGAAGAAGATAACGAAGATAGAAGCAAAGTAACGGGAGAATTTAAATCTTGGTGAACAGTTGTGACTACCCATGTGTTTTATTTTTAATTTCTTTAGAGAGAGATTTTTGCTATAGGGTGCATGTGCTCACCGGAGAGGCAGAGAGACAAAGAGACAGAAAGTGAGAAATCATCCCCGGGGGATGGCCATGCCTCAATCCCTTCTCCTTCATTCTCCTCTTGGGATTTTGGGCACGCGCACACACACACACACACACACACACACACACGCCCTGCATAAATTTTAATTCTTTGGGCCTGGGACTTGAACTGTGGTTGACTATGTGTGAGTCCAGTGAAGTAACCATTATGCCTTCTGCTGGCCCCTGCTCATGTATATTAAAAAGAAGCTTGAACTGGAGCCAGCAGGTGGCTTGGTGGTCAAGGCACTGGTTCTAGACCTAGTGGCATGAAACTCACACTAGGCACACTTGTGTGCATGTCTGAAATCCCAGGAGAATGGAGGAGAAGGGATTGTGGTGTGGCCCTCTTCCCTGGGGGCGATTTCTCACTTCTCATTGTCTCTCTGGCAAAGGCACATGCCCTATGGCAAAAACGTTTAAAAAAAAAAAAGCTTAAATGAATTTGATACTTTTGAGCAACAATGGGCTGCCTCAGTACAGGTGACTTGGAACCCAAGATTACAGTTGGAGCTGTCATTTGGACAGAGCAAGAAATGAAGGTAAAGATGGTTCTGTCATGTCTTGTGGTAACTCATCTTGAGCTGTCGTGCTCTGGCCCAGCTAAGAGTCTTAATGGCGGCCTTGCTGTTGTACCTGTGCCATATGGGCCATGGGTGGTTGAAAGACAAACACAGTGGTCAAGA